GTACATTTTGTGTATGAACACAGACCAAGATAAAGTATATGTTGTGGGGGTCATATAGTTATAAAATTCTAAACTCTGCCACAATAACCTGTGGCCACTGCACCTCCTTGTCTCCAAGGGATATGATACCCCAATGTACACATAAGAGACAGTAATTTAACACACGCTCAAACTTAAAGTCGTATTTAAGTTAAGTCCTCTGCTTCACTGAGACCTGGCTGAATGAGCGGATCCTGGACAGTGCTCTGGAACTGCAGGGATCGCCATTGTGCGCTATCAGGCAAGAGCAGAGGCGGAGGGCTCTGTTTCTACGTCAATACAAACTGGTCTAACGATGTGACGGTGATCTCCAAGCACTGCTCTCCTGCTCTGGAATATCTTTTCATACATTGTAAACCGTTTCACTCCCCTCGCGAGTTTGTTTCATTCATTCTTGCCTCTGTTTACATACCGCCATGCGCGGACAAGCAAATACTGTGTATGGAGCGTTTATACCCGGACTCTCTGATTATTATCCTGGGGGATTTTAATAAGGGAAACTTGAGCCAGGAATTACCCAAATACAGACAGTTCATCAAATGCCCGACCAGAGAGTATGGAATCTACAGACTGGGACCTTTTCAGAGCTGCCTCAGACAGCTTGGATGACTACACGGACACTGTGACGTCATACATTCACTTCTGCGAGGATAGCATCATTCCAACAAGGACCAGGGTCATCTATAACAACGACAAACCCTGGTTCACTGCTAAACTCCGGCAGCTCAGAAAAGCAAAGGAGTCTGCTTTCAGGGAGGGGGACCGCAGCGGCTACAAAGCAGCTAAATATCAGTTCAGGGACGAACTGAAAGCAGCCAAGTCCCGGCACAGAGAACGACTAAAGGAGTAGTTGGGAAACAATGATTCTGCTTCTGTCTAGAGGGGCCTACGGGAGATCACCAACTACAAGCCCAAAGCCCCCCCCTGTGCTGACGACCACAAGCAAGCTGACGAACTGAACTTTTTTTTCAGTCGCTTTGATTGGCACCTCTAGTGTTGAATGTAGTTGACTGGTAGACCCATGGGGCTGGGTCCAACCCCGGCTCAGATCCACTGCCATTAGCTTTAGCTGGAGCTGTAGCAGTGCCAGTAGTTGACCCCTCTGGATCCATAGCAGGTCACTGAGGGCTGTGTCTCAGTATCCAGCTCACGAAGGACCATTTGGAGACACAGACCACCAGGAAACAGTTGAAGCTTGTTATACCCCACATTTATTTGTAGTTGCCATGGTTCTGTAAAGTAGGGTAAATATGTCTGTCAATAAAGCATCAAATTAGACTGGTAAATAATAAACAAGAATCACAAACAATAGTACTTACATTTGTAACAGAAACAAAAGACGCATGGTCAACATAAAATGGGGAACAATGGACAACAAACCGGAAGGTCTACTTAAAGCCTCTCCGGAGTTTGGGTGTGTCCTCCTGCTCCCAGGTGCCAGGTGCCTCCATCTTGTGGACACCTGCGGAAATGCTAGATGGTCTGTTATTTACTGGAGTTTGTGACAATATATATATATATATATGTGTGTGTTATGCCTCTTTAAGCTCGGGTCCTGTACCAGAGGCCTGGGAGCTTGAGAGTTCTGCGCCGTATCTTTGCTGTTCCTAGCACTGCTCATTTCTGGACCGAGATTTCCGAGGTTGTTCCAGGTATAGGGTAAGAATATGAAAGATGATAGTGACTGGATCGACTCAGAGCAAACTTTGTGCTGGTTTTGACCACCACAAAGTGTTGTTCTGAGGCTCACACCACTCCGGTCTAGCGGGGCTTAAGATTATTAAAAATGAGAGGGCACCAGCAGGGAAAAATCCTGCAATACTACTATGCTAGATCTATGCCTTGTTAGTCTAATCTGGAGGTTTAGAGTTCTAATTCTGCCAGGGAAATCAAATGATTGTAATAAAGAAGCGATGACGATTAGCTGCTTATAGTTTTATTAACTAAACACAGGGAAAAGGGTGGAGTAACGAAGGATTTATTCACATAAAACCAGAATGATCAAATCACATTCCAAAATCATAACACAACAACACAACCCATACAGTGTTTTCGATCTTACTGTGAGAAGAGTTGGACAAACGTCTAGTTTCTCACGAGAGTCCGGTGATGGAAGGCCTCTGCAATGGCTGGAGAAATTCTCTCATCCGTGTAATCCGTCCACGTGTGGTGGCGGACAAAGGGGCTGTTGTCCTCAGGAAAGCCCGGATTGGAGCCACGGTGATGGTTGACAAGGGCTTCTCGAGGGCTTCTCGTCAACCATCACCGGGCAGCAACCAGTCCTTCTCACTCACACGCGTTCTGCATCTGCGCGTGTGGCTGTACCTTACAGAACGGCTTGGAGTGAGAGTCCAATGAGAGCCCAAAGACAATGGCTCGCGGCACCTTCTTGTCCGCAGTGGCTGATATGTGCGGTCCTCCATGTTGTGGTCAGGAGAGAGAGAGAGTTCAGCTTCTTGAACGGATTGTTACAAAGTCACGCTTGCCTGGCCGCGGCTTGTACGTTGAGTCCAGCTCAAAAATACACGTGACAAAGAACCGGTGTAGTTACAGAGAGGGAGCTCAAAAGTGCGCGTTTCACAAAGTTTACATTTCCAAAGAGGCTGTTCTGCGTCTGCACACGGCTCTTAAACCCGCGCCTGGGGGCGTGGTTTAAGACGTTCACTTCCTGTTAGTGGAGGCACATTAAAACATATAACTTTTAGCAACACACATTTTCTTTTGACATAGAACCACACAATTACATTACAGACAAAATTAACACATTTTGGTTAAGGTTATAACAAAACAATGTATTTATTCATAGTCCGTTTCAGATGTCTTGGCGTTCCACGTCCGCTAGGGGTGGTAGAGTGTAATCTCTGGCTACCTCTGCCAGCGGGTGTTTGGCTGTGGGGTCATTTGCAGTCCCCTGAGGTTATAACACGGTCCTTTGAAGTAGAGGTTCCTTTGTCTTTGGGTTTGTCTGCGGGCCATTTGGGATCCAAGGAGTGATAGCAGTTTATTTGAAAACAGAGTTTCCACTCCAGGGGTTTGGAGACAAGCGGCAGGGGAAAACGGAGTCCTTTGTCTTGTAATTTAATTAGTGTTTGGTTAGCGAGGCTCTGTGGCTGGACTTCTTATAGTACACAGGGATCCGCTGTAAACACTCCTCCAGCTTCGGGGTCACTGCCCCGAGTGCATCGATCACCACAGGCACTACTGTCACCTTTACCCTCCAGGCCCTCTCCTGCTCCTCTCTGAGCCCTTGGTAACATCAAGAAAAAAGGACGTGAAAAGCTTGAGAAATACCATCGCTTGGATTTGCCACGTCCACCACCACAGCTTTCTGCTGCCCTTTGTCTACCACCACAATGTCAGGTTGGTTCGCCATTACCATGGTCGGTCTGTATCTGGAAGTCCCACAGGATCTTTGCATGCTCATTCTCCACCACCTTTGGAGGAGTTTCCCACTTAGACCTTGGGGTTTCCAGCCCATACTCTGGCTACATCCATCCATCCATTTTCTTCCGTTTCATCCATTGCCGGGTCACGGGGGCAGCAGCCTTAGCAGAGACTTCCCTGTCCACATACACTTCATCCAGCTTGTCCGGGGGGGACCCCAAGGCATTCACAAGCCAGCGGAGAGACATAGTCCCTCCATCGTGTCCTAGTTCTTCCCCAGGGTCTAGAAATTATGTTGATAAATACAGTGAACAGAACCGGTCACAAAGGGCAGCCTTGGCGGAGGCCAACATGCACCAGGCACAGGTATGACTTACTGCCGGTGACGCGAACGCAGCTCTGACTCTAGTCATACAGGGACCGGACGGCCCCCTGCAGAGGACCCTGTACTCCTTGAGAACCCCCCAAAGGACATCCATCGAACACGGTCGAACGCCTTCTCCAAATTTACATACACATGTGGACAGGTTGGGCAAACAACCCATGAACCCTTGAGTATCCGATGGAAAGTATAGAGCTGGTCCAGTGTTCTGCGGTCGGGACGAGAACCACACTGCTCCTCCTGAATCCTAGATTCGACTATTGGTCCTTGTCTCCTCTCCAGTACCTTGGAATCCCACTATAATTGGTCCCCGTTCTTTTAGAGGTCTGCCACTCCATTAGCACCGCCCCCGAGTGCCACGCGATGCTGCAGAGACATGTCAACCAAGACAGCCCCACAACATCTAGAGACTTCAGATAGTCAGGACGGATCTCATCCACTCCCGAACCATGCCATGGTGTTCGCTATATGGCCAAACTGTGACTAGCACAGAAGTCCAAAAACCTAACACCGCTCGAATTCAGTCAGTCCCAGGATCATCCGAGGACTCAAACTCCCCTACCAAGATATGATGACAGTCCAGGGGGGAGAAAAAATAAACAAAAAAAGAGTTAAAGTCACGGTTCTGCATGGTTTCAGTTTTCAAAAACTCAATTTTCAGCAGCTTTTTGTCTGGGGCCGCGTTTATACGGAGACGATGCAACAGTAAAACGTTAGAGTTGGGTATCTGTTTGGCCTCCAGTTTACATGAAGATGGTTTGAGACATTGAGAATCAGCTACAGAGTGGAACAGAACAGATACGCTGCTCAGTGGGGGGCTTTTTCACAGCCACGTGAAGAAAAAGGTGTGAATTCTCTGAGGATGTTTTTGAAGAAGTGGTTATACTGCTGGGGGTCGCGTGTGTCGTGTTATAAAGTTCCACTGCCTACTACCAGCCGTGCGCTAGAACTACATCCTTTTCCATAGCCATCTAAAAGCTGAAACAAACTTATTTTTGCTGATGAAAGTAGACGGTCCAGTCTGGTTTCAGATTTCAGATAGTCATTTTGTGGGTTTTGAAAAATCAGTGAAAATTATCAAAAACGGCTGGCAGTCAATGAGTCAATAATGAAAAGTTTTCAATCTCTGTCATGTCTACATTTGTATAGCCCCCGTCCTTATTCACCCCTGTGATTTCCCCCTATGTGCCTGCAGCCATTGACCGGTCAGTATCGTCTGGGCTGTCGGATGCCCGGGACGCACTGGTGAACGCAGTGGTGGACCTTGTGACTGGGTATAAGAGCAGTGTATCAAACCTGCAGCAGAAAGGAGTGGTGCTGCCCTCCTCCATGAGCCTCTTCCCTCTCTACATCCTGGGTCTGCTCAAACAGGTACACACACTCCCTCTACACATTATCATCTGTTTTAACCATGTTCCAAAATTGTTCCCTGATCAATGACAGAACAGAGGCCTTTATTACTAAACACGATTCTAAACTCTTACTAAAAGAATTTGTACAGCGCTGGTTTAAATTATGGATTGATAAATTATATATCTTAGGAACTTTGCGTAAAGCGGCGCACACTTTATAAAGAGATGACCCTCGTGAGGGGATCAATAGAACTCTGTCACAGATCCAGACCCGCAGCCCCCGCGCTTTGATTCTGATCAGATCATTCTGGTCTCCCCCCCTCTCCATCACACCGGACCAGGTGAGGAGTCAGCTCTGAAGCAGAGGAAATCAGCAGGAAAGGACGGGATCAGTCCCAGGTTGCTGAGGACCTGTGCAGACCAGCTCTCTGAGGTCCTCAGCTACATCTACAACCTGAGCCTCAGCCTGGAGAAGGTCCCTGTCCTGTGGAAGACCTGTGTTATCCCGATTCCTAAAATAGCGCACGCCAAGGAACCGGCTCACTACAGACCAGTTGCACTGACCTCCCACCTGATGAAGACCATGGAGCGGCTAATTCTCACCCATCTCCGCTCTGTGGTCAGCCCCACCCTAGACCCGCTGCAGTTCGTCTACAGGCCAAACATCGGAGTAGAGGACTCTGTCATCTACTTAATGCAGCGGACGCTCTCCCACCTGGAGGCCGCTGGGAGCGCTGTGAGGGTCATGTTTTTTTACTTCTGAAGTGCTTTCAACACCATCAGACCGGCACTGCTGCGGGGGAAGATGGAGGACACGGGAGTGGACAGTAGCCTCACTGCATGGACCATCAACTACCTCTCAGACCGACCACAGTACGTGCGGCTGCGCAGCTGTGAGTCTGAGGTGGTAGTCTGCAGTACTGGGGCCCCTCAGGGCACTGTCCTCTCACAGTTTCTCTTCACCATCTACACTTCTGACTTCACATATGACACACACAGCTGTCACCTGCAGAATTTCTCCGACGACTCCGCCATTGTGGGCTGGGTGTCTGAGGGGAACAAACTGGAATATCGGTTGGTTATCACAGACTTTGTCGACTGGTGTGAGCGCAAACACTGTTTCTTGATTGCCACTTTTTAAAATGCCACTTTTTATTGTACATAATATATCCTGCATTTAACATGTTTGCACATGTATTTCTTTTTGCACAATCTTGAGTGATTCTATCCATGCCAGATGTGACATGTACATTTTTCCTGTGTGAGATCAATAAAGTATATCTTATCTTATCTTATGACCCTCTGTGTTACCATAAAAGGACATGACCCTCTGTTTCACCACCTGATGTGACTTCATGAATAAGATAGCACTAATTTCACTGTTGCTTTGTGCAGCTGCCACTTTCGTATGGTCAGACTGGTCAGTCCTGTGTCAAGCATCAGTGTGCCCTCGGGCACGTGGATGAGAGAGCAGCAAAACTAGTGACCACAGCTCTTTGTGACAGCTCAGAGACATTTCACTCTGATGGGGATTTATTTTCTCCTCCGAATGCTGCTCTCTACTCTTCTCCCTCCTCTACCATTCCTCTCTACTCCCTGATCCCCCCTCTCCTTCCTTATTTCCTCCCTCCTCTCTCCTCCCTTATCCCTCCTCTCCTCTTTCTTCCCTCCTCCGCAGAAACCACATGGAGCAGTTGTGGCGGTGCACTATGTTTTACATTCACATTTGTACACAGGCACATGACGCCCCCTGAGTTCTAACTTTCTCAACTCTAATATCAACAAATCATTCTCTACAACAACCCCCCGCTCCATCTCCTAATTTTCCTTTTTCATATAACGCTATGACAAGCTATATAACACCATTTACAGGGCTGTATTTGTACCATGGCATGTCTTCAATTTGACTAGTTTAATATAAAATCAGAATCTACTCTCTTCTATGTCGCAATGGGGATGTTTCGCTAATACAGCTTTTTTCTTCTTTCACTATACATGTTTTGAACAGAAATCTCTGCGCACAGGCACCAGTACGCGGCTGGATGAGCGCGTCTTTGCCATGTGTCAGTTTAAGACGGAGCCTCTGCCACAGCTCATGAGACTGCTGCATCCAGACCTCTACAGGCTGGACACTGTGTCAGACCAGGTAATCTGCCCACTAATGATCTCCTTGGCTTTAATTCATCACTTTTCTAATCACTCAGTCGTCTAAACTTACTGTGGCCAAATAATACCTTACTGTCACCGAATCTCTGGTTTTAAGTATCTACCATATCAAACCTTTTGGCATGAACTAGGGTTGCCACAATTTCAAATTTTTGAGTCATGATTTTATGAGAGAAAATATTTTTTACGATTATCAAAGAAAATCAACTCAGATTGTTTTTTTGCTGGAAAACAATATATGGATAAATTGTGATTATCATATCATATTTTAGATTATTTTATTGTATGTATTACAATTATAAAATATACAAATATTTATATAGCTAAACATTATAGATGAAGTTTTAATAAAAAAAAATGAATGTATATAGCCCAATTGTTTTGTAGTAATGTTGACTAAGGATACTGTGTCATCTGGGACATGATCTGCAGCTCTCATAGTGATGATATTGGGAGCCTGACACACTGAATAACAGACTATATTCTCTTCTGTATGGATAACAATGGTAGGTATACGTGGGTTCTTACGGAAAAAAAAATCATGCTCATTCTGTGTAATCGAATGGTTTTCTTTAGCATGCAAAAGTATACCAGTAAGTTCTTTTGTCAGCTGGTCCATGGGGTTAGACTGTAAAGGAGCATAGTACTCTCTGTTGGTTAACTGCCGTTTGGCAGTACTGCTCTCTTCCCCACACCACTACAGCTCCACCTTTGTCAGCTCGTTTGATGACAATGTTCTCATTTTTAGAGAGTTCTTCTAGTGCCTTCTTCTCTTCATAAGTCATATGTGTTCTTCTTTCTTGAAGAAAGAGATTGTCTACTTCAAACATTACTTTTTTGTAGAATATGTTGAGTGATTGATTATACACATTAGGGGTGAAGGTAGACTTTGGTCTGAACACTTGACTTTTATTCTGATATTCTCCTGAATGGGTGGCAGCTTGACCAGGGTTACAATGGTACCACATTTTGGGAAGAGAAATATGTGTTTTTAATGGAAAACCAATATATAGACAAAATATTGTGGTGGGGTCGGTATATTGATGATGTTATACTGTACTTTTGTAGTCCGGATCTGAAAGAACTTTTAGAATTCCATACTTATTTGAACACCAGTAATATCAATATTAAACTCGGTCTTGATTATTCACTAACATAAATACATTTTCAAGATTTAAAACTATACAAAGACAGTTATGGGGACATAGCACAATCTTTAGAAAACCTTCAGATAAGAATACTATACTCAAAGCAGACAGTTTCCATCCTCCATGGCTGCTACAAAATATACCAATTGGTCAATTTCAAAGACTACTCAGACCAATGCTTTGAGGAAAATGCTGAAGAAATGAAAAGCAGATTTAAGAACAGAGGCTACACCTCCAGCACCATAGATTCTGCCTACAACGGAGCAAAACATCAGAATCGAGAACAACTGCTAATTCAGAAAACTAGGTCAAACGAATGTTCTAACCAGGTCTACTTTGTAACTGAATTTGGCACAGAAGCCAATAAAATAAAAGAAATAATCAACAGGAATTGGAGCATTTTGAAAAGCGACAGTACATTGAGAGAGGTCCTTCCAGATTCACCAACAGTAAGTTTTAGAAAAGCTCCTGTTATAGATGTTGGAAGTGTGCATTGCGATCATATTCAGCGTACTAATCACGTAATGGAAGTTTCATCTGGACAAACTTTCACCATCAAAACAGTCATCAGTTGTAGTACTACCTTTGTAGACTTGAGTGTCCCTGCGGCCGCTTCTATGTAGGCCGTACAAAACGGAAAACTGAAAAACAGACTGGCCGAACACAAGCAAGCTATAAGGACAAAAACCCACAATATCCAATGGCTATACACTACAGAGACTCCAACCTTGGAAGTTGCAGTAGCCTGAAGATCTGTGGCATCGAGCATATTCCAGAGACGATAAGAGGAGGAAACAGACACAAGACATTACTTCAAAGAGAGTCCTACTGGATATATACTTTAAAAGCCACTCAATTCCCAGGTTTAAATGGAGAGTTGGACTATTCTCCTTTTCTTTAAGTTTTTTTTTTTTTTTTACTTTGAGACCATTGGATATATTTCTTGTACATTGTATTGCTAATATGTGAGTACATAATATTTTGCACCTTTTTGGGAGTTTCAATATTTTCTCCAGTTTTTAAAACCTTGTGACTTTAGGCCCGCCCACTGATCATGTGACAAGCACCATACTGTTTAAATCTGCACTGAGACACTCCTCTTGAGTATGCCCTGAAGAAGGCTAGAAGGCTGAAACGTGTAGGCGTAATTTTTACCTCTTTTGCCATGTAGTCAGCTGCAAATATGGCTTGACCCCCAAAAAAAACAAAAGGTTTCACAGTGGTTTACAGTAATATCAGATGTACTTACAAGCATGTTAAAAGTTTACCAAAGTTTACTCAAAAAAAGGCCTCATTTTCAAAATGGCGGCCATCAGGTCCCTAAAATGACCATTACACCTTTGTATTTCTCCTAGACCAGGAATATTGGTGTCTGATATTCGTTTTGGTCATATAATATTCTAATTAGTATATTTGCATGAAAGATAAGCAATTACAAGTACAAATAAAGCCGCAAGCGGCGTCAAACGGCACTCGCCGCACCGCGGGATTCCCCGCACTGCACGCACCACTCCACGCCACGCTGCCCCGCACCAAGCCGCCCCACACCAAGCCGCCCCGCACCAAGCCGCCCCGCACCAAGCCGCCCCGCACCACACCGATCCACACAACGCTGCCCCATACAACGCTGCCCCATACAAAGCCGCGCCGCACCACGCCGCCCCGCACCACACCACCCCGCACCAAGCCGCCCCGCACCACGCCGTCCCACACCAAGCGGCTCTGCACCACGCCGCTCCGCACCAGGCTGCAACGCGCCGCTCCACAACCACACTGTACCACGCAGGACCCCGCGCGAAGGAGGTGGCGCCGCCGTGTGATGATTTGTTCCCGTAGCCATAGAAGAATGTTAGTCAAATTGTAATGAATATAATACGTAGAGCTGGTTTGGCTCCCCATGTAAAACTTTGCCTCAGTCTGTAGGGGGCGCTAATGGGCCAATTTCAAATATTTCACTTTCACCTGACCTAAACCCTAGAGTTGAACAATGGATTCAAGTTTTGTCTAAATCAGACTTTGTTTGTGCAAACAGGAGCAAATTTAATGTTGTCAAAAACGGCCAAAAAAACTCACATCTTGCCGCTCCGCTGCTCAAACAACGTTTCATTGATCAAAAATCCCTGAGGTCAGGTCTTCCGGCTGGGCCTCGGAGAGATGTAGACGCGTCGTCTGAGCTCTCCTACATTTACCGCAATTTTACCAACAAGACCACATTTTTATATCATCTGCAACCCGTAAAGGCATTGTGAGTCACACTGGGTGAAACTTATTTTTCGTTTTGTGCATTTTTATGGACTTTGTGGACTTTTCAATATGCCAAAACTGCCTAAAGCTAACGAGACTGGAGAAAGTAGCCTAACCTCGGGGAATACCGCTGTACTACAAGCCATTGACGCTCTGAAATCGGAGTTACTTTCTAAAATTGACGACAAAGCAGAAATGCAGAAAAATGAGCTGGCCAAACAAATAAGTAGTTTGAGAGACGAGGTGAAGGCGTCTATTGAGCAAGCTAACAACAGGGTTAGCATGCTGGAGGAGCGCATGGCTAGCTTGGAGGAGGGGACCAACACGTGCTCTGATGGCGTAACGGAGTTGGAGCAACAGGTGGCTGAACTAAAACATCAAATCTTGAGCCTGACAGAGAAAACTGAAGATTTGGAAGCGAGATCCAGAAGAGATAATTTGCGTATTTTTGGGATAAAGGAAGGCCGTGAAGGTGGTGCGAAAGTGAGCACGTTCATTGCTGAACTCCTGCAACATGTCCTGAATCTGGCAACCCCTCCGGTGATTGACAGGGCACACCGCACCAGTCCACAAACAACCAAAGCAGGGCCAAATCAGCCACCCAGAGCATTCGTGGTGAAGTGCCACTACTTTCAGGAAAAAGAAGCAATTCTGAGAAAGGCTGCCTCCGAAAAACTCGTCTCTAAGGATGGGGACACTATCCGAATTTTCCCGGATTTTACGCAAAGTGTAGCACGGCAGAGAGCAGCGTTCGGACCAGCGCGACAGATCCTGAGGCAGTGCGAAGGGGTGAAGTATGGACTTTTGTATCCAGCAAGATTGAAGATCACCACCCCCGACGGCGTGCAGCAGATGTTCTCGGACCCGGTGAAGGCGACAGCGTTTGCCAAGGGACTGATGGCGCCATGACGTATGGATGCATCGTAAAGTACTGTTGACATTAACGAATATTATGGTTCATGCTCCGTTGCTAAGATCGTACGATCTCATTCATATTTGCACAAACATATCATTAAGATTGTAACTACTCATGGTTTCTGTTTGTTTTTATTGTCATTTTGTCTATTTTTGCAAAGTATTTTTTAAGTCATATTATTCCAAAGATAACGTGAGGATAGTTTTTTGGTAATTATTTTATTTTCTCCTTTGTTTTTATGACTCAGAGTAATATTTAATGGGGAAGGAAGAGGAAAAAAGAAAAGAAAAAAGAAAAAAGAAGAAAAAAAAAAACATTTCAATTAGGTGTTATTTTATTCTTTTTATTTATTTTACAAGTTTTTTTTTTGTTTTGGTTTTTTTTCATACATTAAGTTTTATTTTGATATACCACCCCTGTTTACGTTATTCAAGTATTCAAGTTCTCTGAAGTTAGGGTGTTCGTTTTGTACGGGTACAGGGTTGAGTATCTGTGGGTCTTGTTGGTGTTCTATGACAATTATTCAACTACAATTAATTTAAGGTTTAGGTAGGATCTCAGCCACTTTTGGTAAGTGGTTAGGAAAGTTCTTACTTAGTTTAGATGCTTCATAGTGGCTTGGGAGGTGGGGGGGGGGTGCAGTCTCTTACTTTGGGAGGGACCAGCAGCAAA